CCACTGGCCGTCCTCATTGCGGTTATTTTGTACCCGCAATCAAGATTGCCCAGTTCCTCGCCGCGGGCTGCGATGTCACCATTCTCCTCGCCGATATCCATGGATTCCTCGACAACCTAAAAGCCCCCATCGAGCTTGTCGAGCAACGCGTCCACTTCTACCGTTATGTCATCACCGCCATGCTAGAAGCCGTCGGCGTATCGACAGAGAAATTACGATTTGTTCAGGGAAGTTCTTACCAGAAGAGCCCCGAGTACGTCATGGACATCTACAAGCTGTCGTCGTTGGTGTCTGAGCACGATGCCAAGAGGGCCGGTGCTGAGGTTGTCAAGCAGACTGCCAATGCCCCGTTGAGTGGTCTACTGTACCCCATTTTGCAGGTGCTGGACGAGCAGTACCTAGATGTCGATGCGCAGTTTGGTGGTCTGGATCAGAGAAAACTATTCACCGCGGCCAAGGAGTGGTTACCCAAGATCGGATACAAGCAGGTACATCTGTTATACCATTCGCACAGGCTACGCGAATCAAGCAATTTGCTTTGCTAACTGTATTTTTTTAGCGTGCACATTTGCTTAACCCCATGGTTCCTGGTCTTCAGGGTGGAAAAATGAGCTCAAGCGACCAAGGTGATTACCCAATTCTGATCCTGTAAATATATGCCTTGTTGATAGGGGGCTGACAAACGTACAGATAGCAAAATTGACTTGCTGGACGCCCCAGAAGTTGTCTCTAAGAAAATCAAGAAAGCCGTGGCTGCACCACAGGTCGTTGAGGACAACGGCGTACTTGCTTTTGTCGAGTTTGTACTGCTGCCAGCGTCTGGTCTGAAGAATGGAAAAAGATCATTCACGGTGGACCGCGAGCGAGATGGTCTCGAGCCCCTGGTGTACGACAATATTGCCCAGATGCAGGACGACTACAGAAATGATGTGGTATGCTTATTCTTTCGCTACCCAAGCCGCACACAACAATTGTTCAGTTCAAAGAAAAGCCTCTAACATAGTGCAGCTTAACCCCCAACTACTCAAGCCTGCAGTCTCCAAGGCCCTGAACGAGCTGCTTGCCCCTGTGCAGGCAGCTTACCAGGCGTCCAAGGACTGGCAAGAGGTTGCTCTCAAGGCTTACCCGCCGCCAGCAAAAAAGGAGAAGAAGGTCAAAAACAAGGGCACACGCCACCCCGGCCACACTATTAAAGTGGACGGTATTACGGATAAAGTTAAGGAAATGGAGGTGTAAAGTACTAAATGTGAAAAGTTATGCATGTATTAGCGGGAGATAGACACTTGATAGCTTGGCTTTTACGAACCTACGCATGTACCTTTGGAATATCCCAAACGCAAATTATGAATAAACTACATGGCATTCAGGGCCACGTGTTGTTCATACGAATAGTATGGCCAGGCTTTTTATTATTAAAGAACGTGGTGTCTATTGGACAACGACACAGGGCGGTGCACATAGCACGCCATACAGTGCGAGGCAAAAGGTACTTGACCAGATCCGGCACCGGGCTATCGAGCTCTACACTAGAGTATACTGTGTTATATGAGTATAAAAATATATTACGGTATATTAGTGGCATAGGTACTTTTGAATGGGCATTATTGAAATATATTTCTCGAATGCCACAGCGCGCCAACCGCCAACCGCTAACCGCCGGCCGCCGGCCGCCTGCACCCGCCACTATTACCCAACTGTTTTCCCTCTCCACCACCAACTTAGAAAGCATGCAGGCTATTAGTATGTATGTACAAGCTACGGAGTATTCGTAGTGGGTCTTCCTCCAGATTGACAGACGTCCCCATCCCCATCAATCTTCTTCCACCAGTTTCGTGAGATAATTTCTCCTCCGCATCACAACGCGGTAGAGGGCTCGTATCGAAGCCTGATCAATCCACCAAGTCATGGCGTCCATGGCCTCATCTCTGCAGAGAGTGCAAGCCCCTGTTCGCAGAGCACTGTGCAACACGCCCGCCGCCGCCCGATGCTTTGCCACCGTCCCTTCCCCTAGCGACTCGGCCAAAACCGCCAAACCCAGGCGCAAGACCTACTTCAAAGACACCGACGTCGCATCATTCTCCGACTTCATTGCTACCTCGTCCCCAGCCCAGCAGCTGTCGACCTCGGAGGCCTACTCTCTCCGAACCGCCGAAGTCGGGCCAGCCGGCAAGAAGAGAACAATCACACGACTGCCCGAGTGGCTCAAGACGCCGATTCCCGCAGGAAACGACAACTTCAAGAAGATCAAGAGCGATCTGCGAGGTCTCGGCCTCCACACTGTATGCGAAGAGGCACGATGCCCCAACATCTCCGAGTGCTGGGGCGGCTCAGATAAGAGCGCCGCCACTGCAACCATTATGCTCATGGGCGACACCTGCACGCGAGGGTGTCGTTTCTGCAGCGTAAAGACGAACAGGGCGCCCGCGCCGCTGGATCCCCATGAGCCGGAACATACCGCCGAGGCCCTTGCGCGATGGGGCCTGGGCTACGTCGTTTTGACGAGCGTCGACCGTGACGACTTGGCCGACGGGGGCGCCAGACACTTTGCCGAGACGATTCGCAAGATTAAGCAGAAGAGGTCGTCGCTGCTGGTGGAAGCACTGACGGGCGACTTCATGGGCGACCTGGACATGGTCCAGATTGTGGCCGAGAGCGGACTGGACGTGTACGCGCACAATGTCGAGACCGTCGAGGCCCTGACCCCGTACGTTCGCGACCGCAGGGCCACCTTCCGACAGAGCTTGAAGGTGCTGAAACACGTCAAGGATGTGCGTGGCAAGGAGGGCATCATCACCAAGACCAGCATCATGCTCGGCCTCGGCGAGCAGGAGCACGAGGTGATGGATGCTCTGCGGGGTACGTACCAAGACCTACAACATGCCGCCTCTCTGCGCGGGCACTGCTAACAGCCCTTTATAGAGCTCAGAAAAATAGACGTCGACGTCGTCACCTTTGGCCAGTACATGCGCCCCACGAAGCGCCACCTCAAGGTCGAAAAGTACATCACCCCCGACGAGTTTGAAATGTGGCGCCAGCGAGCTCTGGACATGGGCTTCCTCTACTGCGCGAGCGGTCCTCTGGTGCGCTCATCCTACAAGGCCGGCGAGGCGTTCATCGAGAATGTCCTGCGCAAGAGGGCTGGCGAGAAGGGCATGGCGTCGCCCACGACGGAGGAGAACATCGCCAAGGCGGTGGCTATGGATGCCGAGACTCGGTGATTATAGATGATGGGAATGAATGGCAGATAAACATACAATTCAGAAGGGCCATCCGGAAGAAGCTTTGTAAATGTTATATATCGGCGACTTGGGTTCGCATAGATGGCGTTTTTTTTTTTTTCGGGTACTTGACGGTAGAAAGCAGGGCAATCAACAATAGGCTCTTTCAAGATGGAAACATGTATTGTGCATCATGCATGTTTTGGTGTATGGCCATGTCCAAATTCGGACGAGAGCCGATTATGTGGATGTCTCGATGTACGACATCACAGGAAACAACAATGCTTATATTCCATGAAGCTAGAGCAAATATATCGCGGCTCAGTTAATGTATGAAACACCTTGACAGTCATTACATGCGTTCATCATGGGTATCAATCCACTGCTAGCTACTTGCCGTCCCACAGTCCCCTCAGCGCCGTCAGCGCAATAAAGAGCGCCTCCTCCGTCCGAATCGTCCTGCTGCCCTGCCCCGGCAGCACATTCACCCACTGGTCAAACAGCTCCCTCGTCCTGCCGCCCTGGATGTCCATCTTTACCAGTTCCTCGTCGTTCATGGACGCAAACTCCAACCCGCGCGGTCCGCCAAACACAATGAGCAGGTGCTTGAAATTGAGGGGTTTCGACGAGAATGCCTTGGAAATGGGGGTCCCGCGCTCCGAAGTGCCAATGCTAAAGTCATAGCCGTCCTCGTACGGGCTTTCGGTGAACACGGAGCTGAGGGAAGGGCATTTTCGGACAGTGTACCCCCAGTAGTAGCCGCCTTCTGTCCGGGGAGCTTGGGGGTCCACGCACTGGGGATACTGGGACTGGTCGTCGGGGAAGAGGAGGGTGAGGCGGGTCTTGGGCGGAATGTCCTCTTCGATTTCGACGGGTTCGTCGAGCCCGACCTCCACGAGGGTGCCGCTTCCTGTGCTGGTTTTGCCGGGGACGGTGACGCCTTCGCGGTAGGGGATCCATTCTTTGGGATTGGGGTGGTGAGGCATGTCTAGGCTGGGGAGGAGGGCGGTCAGGCGGAGGTTGGGGTGCAGTGGGAAGAGGGCCTTGCGCATAAACGGCGGCGCTTCGAGGAACGAGAGGATGTGTGTGAGGAAATGGGCCGGGTCGGTGTCGCCCGTGTAGCCCGCGGTGTCTGTTTGTCGCGGACGGGAGGAGGCTGGCGAGTCGTCGAATACCACAACCTCGTCAACGGCGAAGACGGCGAGGGCGCGGGCGATTCGTCCCGGGATGGACATGCGTTGGTCCGCGGTCGCTAGGCTGGGGGGGCGTGTGTTAGCAGGGTATTGCGTGGGGACCGTACGGAGCGTGTGAGGACGGCTTACTTGGTCAAGATGCTTGTTGGGATGGCGACGGATACTGTCCAATCTCTGCCGCCTTCGGTGGGAGTGAAGCTGGCAGAGGGCTTGAATGAAGTTCTATCTTGCTGGCCATTGTGGACCGTCTTCCGCTTCTTTTTGCTTGGTAAGGTTCCAATTCACTCTTTATTTTACAGTGATACACTTACTTTGTTCTTACGCTCGTGAAAAGACATGATGGCCTTTTTTTAATACAGCCGTTTTTGAAACTTGCTGTCAATATGAGAACCCCGGTCGGTGAGGGTTGTAGAAAAGTTGAGGCAGCTTAATAGGTCCGGCAGAAAGCAGCCCACTCTATCCACCGCCTGCCAATCCTGGTTCCACGCCACCTGTTGGTTGGTCAGCCAGCTGTTGGCATCATGCTGTCCACTTCTCTATCTCATCCATCAATCTCACTGCAGACCTCACACTGGTCAACGTGGACATAATGAGCGGTCTTGTTGAAATTAAGTCTCCTTCGGAGTGGAAGTCTCTGCTCTCCAGCACCTCCGTAGTCGTCGCCGACTGTATGATTCACACCATTGCTCCGCAGCCGGGGAGTCCACGCAACAGGTTAACTAACTCATGATAGTCTATGCCGACTGGTGCGGACCATGCAAGATGATCGCTCCTCATTTCCAGCGTCTCGCAAGCCAGCACTCTTCTCCCAAGAAGGTGGCCTTTGCCAAAGTCAATGTCGACTCCCAACCCGAAGTCGCCAAGGAGAACCGTGTGTCTGCAATGCCCACCTTCAAAATCTTTCACAACGGCACCTGCGTCGAGACCATCCAGGGTGCCAATCCAACCGCTCTCTCTGAGGCTGTTACCAAGGCAGTCCAGCTCGCAGGCAGCGGTAAATCTGCCGATGGTCTCTTCAAGACCCCTGGTCGAACTCTGGGGGGAGGTTCGCCTTCTGCGGGCAGCGGCTTCAACTACAGCGGCCTGTTGAACCTCCTGGTCGCCTTTGTTGGCCTGTACCTGGTGTCTTTGTTTTCGGCACGTAACCAAAAGGAGGACCTAGCTGTCAAAGGAAGAGACATTGCTGACTGGGGTCTTTTTTCATAGTTCGACGCGCAAAAGGCTGCTGAGCAGTCTCGGTTCAACGTTCATAAAGCGCCGCAGAGGCCTGCTCCTCCACGCGTGTCGCCAGCAGCTTCTGGGGCTGGGGCTGGATCCGGTGCGAGAGCTCCGGGGGGTGCAGCCCATCCCCAACAGAGGGCCACGTTTAAGACGTTGGCCGATCTATGATCGAAATGGGCAGGTGTGAGCGGTTTTAGTTATTTGCATGGCGTTGCGGGGCAGTGCGGAACATGGTAGTATTTCTTCTTTCAGTCCAGATACAAACAAGGTTATTGTAATACATGGTTCAACGAGAAAACTAAGCGCTAGTTCGACTTCCAGACTATTGCAGTGAAGATGTAAGTAACTATGACAGGAAGAGAGTGTTTGAACAGGAGGTATCTGGCAATCGCGCTCTACAATTCTACATGCTGTATTAGTAGTATATACTTGGCGATAGGTAAATATGACTTTCCAGACTGTCAAGTAGGTTCACCAGCAATTGCCATGCAGCCCCGACGCAGCTCACCATCGGCACATAGCAGCCTTCCAGCACGCAGCCTGCAGTCACTGGCAAGACTTAGTGTCTCAAATACTCCTAAATTTCAAATATAAATTTTTTCCCTCTACAATCAGCATCATCCCGCTTTAAGAGGCACGTTTCGCAACTGTTGGTATCACCCAATCATGCCAACTGTATTACAAAGTATCGCGATCACGTGATAACGCGATAGAGAAAAAGCTCCAACCTTAATCCCTGCGCGCTTCCCTCCTGCAGCACATACTTGTACAATATGTTGTAAAAATGCTGTCATTTAAAGGCGTCCGACATGCATATTCTATTTGTGGCTATTCAATATCGCTTTTTTTAAGAAGCCCTCCTTCACATTCGTCATTTGTCACGGCGCAAAGAGGCTCGGTGTCAAACGTCACTGGCGGCGGCGCATTTTGCACAGCTCCCGCGGGGCGAAATTTTTCTATTTCCAGGTCACTAAGAGCAAGGCAGTCGACAGAGTCAGAAACAACAAGCCAAGGAGACATTGAAAAGGTTGTGCGGGATGCAAAGCAACGATTTCGTGACACACTACCGCCCGGCTACCTCAACGATCAAGAGTATGCGCTGTACGAACGACTGTATGGACCACCCTTACGAGAAACCAGACCAGAAGATGTCGGAATTGACACCCATGCGGATATGGGACCTGTTTTCCCCCGGCCAGACGGCGAGGGCACCCTATTGCGACAGCTTGAAGGCGGCGAGTTCGAAGAGGTGACCTACAAAATCGACCGGCAAGCAAAGCCTATAGAGGAGTCGTATGACATTGATACGGAATATCCTGACACTATAGAACACGATATAATCGGAAAACCTCCTGGGTATGTGGATATTGTGGCTCGAAGTCAGAGGGAACATGATGCTCTGAAGAGACTAGCGGCGGACTTCGAGACCGCTCAGAAGAGCAGAGTCCAGAAAGAAGATGAGAAAGCGGACATAGAGGAAGAGGATGAAAGTTCGTCCTGGTTGCCGGAAGAACAACCAGGCTTTGGCGGACGAGACTTGGGAGAAACCAGACGATTCCATCGATACACTCTGGAGGGCAGGTTTCAAGGTAGTCCTGTTGAAATACCGCTGCCCAGAGACGAGTTGATATCACCTGTCCGGGAGCTTCTTGAGCGAACTCATCTGAAACATGTCAAACAAGCCGCGGAGGCAGCCTTTGGTGGGCCGGGGCTCCCAACCTCGCCCTCCACGCCCGAAGGACGCAAGAATGGCTTGATGGGAGGAGTTGGGCTCCCTCCTGATCAGCGACAGATGTCTGAAATTGAAGCAGATGCGTTCCTCGCAGGCTATCTACCTCCGGCATACGCTTCGATCATGTCGATTCTACGAGAAGTTCGGAAACGAGTAGGCAGCGAATGGATACAGTCTCGCCTCAAGCAGGGCAAACAGGGTGGTTTGAGCGTCTTGGATGCAGGTGCTGGCGGAGCTGGCTTAATAGCGTGGGAGCAAATCATCAACGCCGAATGGGACTTGCTTAAGGAGAAGGGCGAGGTCAGCGGGCCACAACCAACGGGCAAGAAGACGGTTATTGCTGCGTCAGATCGCCTACGGTACCGCCTGAAGAACTTTTTACACAACACCACGTTTTTGCCGCGGCTGCCCGATTACGAACACTCAGGTGAAATGCAAGGCGAACATCTTGACGCCGGAACCAAGCCACAGACTCGAAAGAGCTTTGACATCATCATTGCTTCGCATCTGTTCCTCAAGGAGAAGCAGGACCACTACAGGCAGGCTATTCTTAACAACCTCTGGAGTCTGCTTGATAAGAATGGCGGTGTTCTCGTCGTCATTGAAAAGGCACACCCCAGAGGCTTCGAGGCGGTGGCTCATGTTCGAGACACTGTACTCAACCAGTTCCTCCTCCCACAGTCTGGGGAAGCTAGAGTCAGCGCCGAAGACTTCAACCCAGCATATAATCGGGAGCTTGAGCCGGGCCACATCATCGCGCCATGCTCCAACCACGGGCCATGTCCCATGTACAAGGAGTCCGGCAAGAGCAAGGGCCGCAAGGACTACTGCCACTTCAACCAGCGCTTCGTGCAGCCGTCATTCTACAGCCAGATGCTCGGAAAGCACGCAAACAACCAGGGCGAAGTCGAGTTCAGCTACGTTGCGATCCGGCGAGGCTTGCCCAAGAGCAGCCAGCTCACGGGGCCAGCAGCCACGGCGCAAGCATTCCAGGGCTACGAAAAATCACCAGATCACCCCGACATGCAAACACTGCCGCGACTTGTCCTGCCGCCGCTGAAGCGCAAAGGCCACGTAACACTGGATCTCTGCACGCCAGAAGGCAAGATTGAGCGGTGGACGGTGCCCAAGAGTTTCAGTAAGCTTGCCTACCACGATGCGCGAAAGTCAAGATGGGGAGATTTATGGGCACTGGGGGCAAAGACGAGAGTGGCGCGCAACGTAAGGGCTGGCATCGGCAAAGACGACGGAGGGAAACGCGCAGCGGCCGCCGACGGCAAAAAGCCTCGCAAGGTCGAGATTGCCATGGACAGCGGGCGACTGTCAGCGACAGAGAAGAATGCGCTCAAGGACAGGAGGCCTAAGAGCAAGGCCGCCAAGCAGCGCGACTTGATGAAGGAGCTGTTTGATGCAGAAGCCAGGGAAGAGGCAGAGCTAGACAGGGAACTCGACGAGGAGGCCGAGGCGGAGCTGGAAGAGGCGGAAAGACGGGCCCGATTGCGCTAAGGAATCTTGTACAATCACTGTAAACTATATAATGAAAGGCATCGGAAAAGGATATCTCCCCCAAAGGAGCTGTACTATAATTACCACACAAAGCACATAGCTGAAACAAACATCTCCGAGGACGAGAGAAAAGGCGATAAGACACGTGCGCTATCAATTCGACCCCGCGACGACCCGACAAAGGTAGACTCACCAGGGGTCTCGAGGCTCCTAATCCCCGCCGCATGATTGGTCTGATAGCGGCCCCATTCTCCGGGGTTAGCTCAATGGCGTCACATCAGGCGCAGATTGGCAAGCAAAAAAAAATCGGGGTGTCGCGGGAATCGGCGAGCGCAACGAGCAAGACTGATGAGACGCAAATCACCTAGGTTCAAAACCAACTGGATGGCGTGCTTCCCGGGCCGTCGGGGGCCCGCGTCTAAAATACACGGCGTCGCCGCGCACCATTCCGAACTGCGAATGCTCTCCTCCCGTCTGCGCATTGCAAGACGACGTCGCCATGGCTCACAACACCAGCAACACGATGCTCGCGGGCGTGTACTGCACCGACAACATCCACCTCGTCGTCGGGACGAACCCGCTCGCGGCGGCGCGCTGCACGACGTCCCTCGCCGCCGGCGCACGCCCCGTTCTCGTGGCCCCGGCCGGCGCGGACCTACACTACAACCTGCAGACCAAGATCGAGCAGGGCCTGATACGCTGGCACCAGAAGGCGTTTGAGGACGAGCACCTGTTCACGCTGGGCAGGGACGAGGTCGGGCGCACCGTCGACGCCGTCTTCGTCACGTCGGCGCCGAGGGAGGCGCTGGCGGCGCGCATATCGTCCGTGTGCCGGCGCAACCGCATCCCCGTCAACGTCGTCGACGCGCCGCACCTGAGCACCTTTGGCCTGCTCCCGCCACACGCCGGCGGCCCGCTGCAGATCGGCGTCGCCCCCAACGGCCGCGGGTGCAAGCTCGCGTCGCGCGTGAGGCGCGAGATTGCCTCGTGCCTGCCGCCCGGCCTGGGCGCCGCCTGCGACCGCCTGGGCGAGCTGCGCCGGCGCATCCAGCACGACGACGCCCTCGCCCCGGGGGACCTCGACGACGCCCTCGACCAGGGCAGCCAGTTCAACCGCCTCGTGGGCGACGACGAGGCGCGCACCCGCCGCATGCGCTGGCTGGGCCAGGTGTGCGAGTAGTGGCCGCTGAAGCGCCTGGCCGCCGTGACGGACCACGACGTCGAGAAGCTCCTGCTCGCGTACCCGGGGCACAGCTCATCGCCGCCACCACCACCACCGGCGCAGCTCGACGCTGCTGCTGCCGCCTCCTCGCCAAGGGGCCGAATCGTGCTCGCCGGCTCCGGGCCGGGAGACCCCTCGCTGCTCACAACCGCCACCCTCCGCGCCATCCAGACGGCCGACGTCGTCCTCGCCGACAAGCTCGTCCCCTCGGGCGTGCTGGACCTCATCCCGCGCCGCACCCCGGTCCAGATCGCGCGCAAGTTCCCCGGCAACGCGGACCAGGCGCAGGAGGAGCTGCTCGAGACGGCCCTCGCCGCCGTGCGGTCGGGCCAGGCGGGGGTGGGCCCCCAGGGCGACCCCTTCGTGTACGGCCGCGGCGGCGAGGAGGTGGCCTTTTTCCGGGCGCGCGGCCTGGGCGACCGCGTGACGGTGCA